CATTGAACCACATCATTTTGTAGTTTAGCTAGATCCATTGGATCGATTGCCTTCTGAGAAATTGCATTGAGGAATGCACATAGCTTCACGGTGGCTAGACATACATTTGGAGGTAGAATTTCTCTTAATGCAACTGGAAGCAATTGCGTCATGAGCACGTGGCAGTCATGGACTTTAAGTTTAGTAATTTCTTCTCTGGCACATTTATTATACCCTATATATTTGAGAGAATCCAGATGGTACCTTGATGCTTGCTAGGCATTCAAACATGCTTTCCTTCTCTTCTTTGCTAAGAGTGTAGCTAGCAGGACTTAAGTAATGGCGTCCATCATCTATCTTCTCTGGATGTAGGTTGTCTCGTTCTTTCAAACACCGTAGGTCCTGTCGTGCTTCAAGTGTGTCCTTAGGCTTCCCATACACACCCACGAAGCCTAGCAGGTTCACACAAAGATTCTTCGTCAGGTGAATCACGTTGATCACGCTACAGACCTCTAGGACTTGCCAATAGGGTAGCTCCCAAAATATGGACTTCTTCTTCCACATGGGTGCGTGACCGTCAGCGTCGTTCGGAACAGGTTCACTGCCATGTGCCTTTCCAAATACTACTTTCACATCCTTGACCATATTGAGTACATCCTCACCAGTTCGGTTGCTCGGCTTGGTCTGGTGGTCTGCCTTACCTTTAAAATGCTTGCCTTTCTTTCTTAGGGGGTGATTCGCAGGAAGAAATCGACGATGGCCAAGGTACACGACGTTTCGACATTTTTTTAAGAATATACCTTTAATGTCATCGAAACAGTGCGTGCATGCATCATATCCCTTGTTTGATTGTCCTAAAAGATTACTTAGAGTAGGCCAATCATTGATTGTTACGAACAACAATGCTCGCAGGTCAAAGTGCTCCTGTTTGTGCTCATCCCACACACGTACACCTAGTCTGTTCCACAAAAATAGAAGTTCTTCAACTAGTGGCCTTAGGTACACATCAATGTCGTTGTCAGGTTGCCTTAGGCCTTGGATGAGCACTGGCATCATAATAAACTTACGCTTCATGCATAACCAGAGAGGAAGGTTGTAGATACATAGAGTAACAGGCCAAGTGCTATGACTACTGCTTTGCTCCTCGAAAGGATTCATACCATCCGTATTTAAAGTAAACCTTAAGTTTCTTGCGTCATTTGCAAACTCTGGGAATTCTCTATCGATTGCTCTCCACTGGGATCCATCAGCAGGGTGTCTCAACATATTGTCTACCTTACGGTCTTCTTTGTGCTATAGCAATAACTTTGCATGGTCTTTATTTCTGAACAGACGTTTCAAGCGTGGTATTATAGGAGCATACCACATAATCTTGGCAGGGATTTTCTTCGTGGGACGTTTGCCCTCAACATCACCAGGGTCATCTCGCCTGATCTTATACCGCGATGCATGATATACCGGGCATGCATCTAACTTCTCGTACTCCTCGTCACGGTAGAGGATGCAATCATTAGGACATGCATGTATCTTCTGAATTTCTAATCCCAAAGGGCAGACTACCTGTTTTGTTTCGTACGTAGTGACGGGCAATTCGTTATCCTTCGGAAGCATCTTCTTTTGGATTTTCAGTAACTCCCCAAATCCCTTGTCAGATACACCATTCTTTGCCTTCCATTACAGCAATTCCAGTGTGGTACCCAACTTTTTTTATCCCGCATCACAAGTTGGGTATAACAATTTCTTGTGATCCTCTAGCATGCGCTCGAACTTGATCTTCTCCTTTTCACTTTCGCATTCTCTTTGTGCGTCACGAATGGCCTGACCAAGATCATCAGCGGGCTCATCTTCTACCACTACCTCTTCTTCAACTTCCCACATTGCAGTATCATTGAAGGCACCATATTCAACAATAATATCATCATCGTCCCATTGTTCTTCTTCACCTTCTTCTATTACAACCCCGGTTTCTCCGTGCTTCGTCCAACAAATATAGTTTGGCATGAAACCCGACTTCAACAAGTGTGAATGAAGACTCCTTGAGCTAGCATATTCCTTTAAATTCTTACATATGGCACATGGGCAGCACATGAAACCATCGTGTTTATTTGCCTCGGCCACACGTAAGAAAGAATGCACGCCCCCAATGAACTCTTGGGAGCGGCGATCAGCATTGTACATCCAATGTCGGCTCATCTGCATTACATGACATACATACCATATTAAAACCTAGAACATAATTAGTTAATTATACGACATGCATGCCACCACACAAGGTATTAATTTATGAAAGTCTCGCTATAATGTAGACAATCACAACTACCACTAAAAAAACTAAAGCTAAAATGCACTCCAACAGCATAAGGATTTCGCGACCAATCCCAACTAAAACAGACAGATCATGCGTTTGTTCAACATCTATGGGCTTCTTCCGCAGGATCACTGCCTCATCAGCCGCCGTAGCCGCCTGTGCAAGAGAGTTTTGCACGTGTTCAACATACTCTTCCTCCCAGTACCAGCCTGAACATCTAGTGCCATCTCACTGAAATTAAAACAAAAAATTAGAACTTTAATCATAATCATCATGAAAATAAGTATAAATTAACCATAATCATTAAATGCGACAAAATAACTCACATTGCGATCCGGACACTTGTAGAAGATACGGCCCTTGTTGGGACACTCCTTCCTCACCCGGTACTCTATCACAATCTTCTCCTCACACTTGCCGCATGCAATGAGAGGGAGGTCCGGCCTCAGTCGCTTTGGAACCCGATGAGAGGCTGAGGACCCGGAAGCAGTTGACATCTACTATCTATACTCATTTTTAATATAATATAAATTTCTCATTTTATAAACCAATAAAATTAAAAAAACTCTAAAATTTTCTATATCTCTAAACCATGAAGTGTGCTATGCATGCTAGAAATGAAAACTGAATACTAGTTTTGAATAACTACTTTAACCTTCCTTCATCCAAATATGCAAACTTTAAAGTAATTTTGAACTTAAATGGCTTACAAATAAAAAAATCCACCATAAAAAACCACATATATCTAGTCCACAAAATGAGATATGCTACTGATGAAACATGAGAGTATAAAGTTGGTAACCTTTAGAACCGAAGAATCAAGGGAGGAATCGAAGAAATCTTATGATTACCGGCGATGAGGAAGAAGAGAGGCCGGCGATGAAGCAAGAACACTAAGCTCGAAGTGGCTCGGGCTCAGGGAGGAAGAAGGACTATATAGGAGGGGACCTTTAGTCCCGGTTTGTCCCGGTTGGAGACAGAAACCAGGACTAAAGGTCTCTTTCTAATCCCGGACGGAGCCTCCAGCCGGTAGAAGACTTTTACTCTCGGTTGGAGGGACCAACCGGGAGTAAAAGTTAACCTTTAGTCCCGGTTTGTGGCTCAAATCGGGACTAAAGGTCCCCTGCAGCAAAAGCCTGCTGCAGTAGCCGTTGGGCACAGACCTTTAGTCCCGGTTGGAGCTACAAACTGGGGCTAAAGGTCTCTCTAGTCCCGAGCACGAAAAATATCAGGACTAAAGCCAAATTTCGAGCTGGATCAAAGGTCGTTTCTCTACTAGTGCTAGGCACTACGAAAGAAGTGGTATATTCTCTTTTGAATCTACTTATAGAATGCTTGTTCACAATAGGAATCAAAGGCAGGACCGGAGGATTATGCAAAATTCATATTCCCTAACTGTTGGGTTGTTGAAAGCGTTATATTTCCCAAATGAACATTTTCTTAATGTAGCCCTAGGAAATAGACCGTCGCAAATTTGGAGAGCTATCCTTGATGGACAAAGTTGGCGTGAGCAAGGTTTGATCAAAAGAACTGGAAATGGTGAAAACACAAGTATATGGGAGCATAATTGGATTCAAGGGATGGTGGTTGGGGTTGTGACACTTGCTCGGGTGTGCCGGACGATGAGGTTTTTGGGGTTACGACACCGCTTGGGTGCGGACGATGAGGTTTTTGGGAGCGTCTAACGTGACTGCTTGTTGTCGATCTAATTCGTCTTCTTCCTGGTGATAAGTAGCGGTCTTCTTCCTGGGTGGACATTCTAGGATTGGACTGAGAACACCTTCCTGCATCGACTGTGGTACGCGATTTCGAGCAATGCACTATGTCGACTAGTGCGCATGGAGCCACCGGTGCCTTTGGCATTGGTCCCTCCGCTGGGTATATCTCTGATCTTACCGTTTCTACGTTTAGTAAGATATTTGCAATGTTTATGATCAGTATAGTCGTCATGGTTGCCACTATAGCGACTAACTGTAGTTCACACGTGCACATATATGTTGTCACGAATTTACTACTATTTTTTGGATTAAATTAAACATTAAAATGTCTAAATTTCTAGCATTCCAAAAACCTGATAATAGTCAATTTTCTGTTTTGTGATAATGTTTCGTGATGTTTTTTTTCATTATTTACACGGTACCATGAGATTGTTTTTTCACGCAAGCCAGGCTAGGAGATGCAACTAACCAATCAGGCCCTACAATGCGGGTCACATTAGTGTCGTTATGCTTATGGCAATATTTGCTGCGTTGTTCCTGATCAGTCATTTCGTGCACTATTTATGCCTGTTCAAATCTATATGGTAGAAAACTCCGTAATTGATGGCTTCCGTTTTACCAGCATGTGCGTCAGAGGCATATAATTTTTTTTTTTATTACTCATTTACTAGGCAAAATAAAGCATCGATTTGAGCGTCTATATATACGGTACGTACATGTGCAATCAGCAAGAACGATTGGCTGTACATGATATGATACTAGGAATTGATCTCAAGATAGTCCAGTTTATTTTTCTCATGCATCTCGCAGTATCGCACATTGTTAGTCTACAATTCTATATACATTCTGACCAATTGGCTATACATGATATGATACTAGGAAATACGCAGAAGAAGAAGCAAGTAGTAGTACAATGGAGGGCAAGATCGAGGCTCGCCGCCTGGTGCCTGCTCGTCGTCGTGCTCCTGTCGGCCCAGCAGCGGCCGCCGGCGGCCATGTGCAAGTTCTGCCGCTGCTACAAGCAGTGCTACGCCGACTGCCGGAAGGACACCCCGTCTTACCCCTGCAACTTCGGGTGCCTCCAGGACTGCTTCAACGCCATGCTGCCGCCGGCGCGTCCGACGTCCCCCGCCGACTGCAACCGCATCTGCCTCATACGCGTCTGCGGCGTCATGAGCACCGCCTCCATGGCGGTGGCAGGTGATACCGAGGCGGCGTGCCTTGTTGCCTGCCGCAACAGCATCGGACACTCCGCTCCGCGGAAAGACACCACCGACTGATGGCGCTGGGACGACGACTTCAGTTCAGTTCAGACTCACACAACACAACCAGTAGTGTCTGATCATCAGTTTGTTAATGCGATGGTGATCGGCTGTTAACAAACAAAACAATGATCTATCTGTGATTATAAAAAAATATATAAACATTGTTCTAGTTCTAGCACGATGTATCATGTGGCATTGGAATTGATTATTCACATCCACTTCAACCTGATGAAACAAATATAAAAGAAAGTGTGTAGGAAGAACCTGATGAACACTGTAAGCGTGTTTTTGTTATTAAAAAAAGTGGCCAATGCAAGACACAACCTTACATGTTTTCAGCACCTACTCCCCGTCTCGGTCCCAAAATCAGTACACATCTCGCATTTCAAGGAGGAGAGAACACTTTTAAATTTAACCAAATATATTAAAAAGTTACTAATATTTATGATACTATAAATAAATATCATTAGATTAATCATGTTATATATTTTTATAGTAAGTATATTTAAAGATACAAACGTTAATATTTGTTTTTAAAAAAATCTAGTTACACTTGAGATTTGTTACCTCTTGAAGTGTGAGATGAGTGCTTATTCTAGGACGGATGAGTAACAACGTAACATGGTGCTTTCTAATCCAAATAACAACAATAAAAAGGAATGCAAGCAGCGCGGGTAGGAGTCATGCATTCATTCATGATTGGTCATGCATGAGTCACCTAAAGTTGCCATCTACCTATCTCCATATATATATTCTACAATAGTTGGAGACCTTTTGTTTAGACAAGTAGACGGAGAGGAACTAGATAGAGACGTCAAGGAGGAAATTAGATGAATAAGATATTGGAGGCAAAACAATAAGGCAACAATACGATAAGGTACGTGCTTTCCAACAAGGTCAAGTCGAGTTAGCTCTCACGGTTGACAGATACCACAAGTGGAAACAATGCGATAAGTTCCTATGCAACTAAATTGAACCAGGGTGGCCCTCACAGTATAAAATACCATGAGCATGAACCAGAAATTTATCCAGTAGTACTGTAGAGGGTTGACGACCATGATAAACGACTATGTGATGTAACTTTTCTTTGACAGATCGTACCAAGCATAAGATGGTGAAGATCACACTAGCTAGCAATGAAGGCGGTGCCGTGCTAAGAGCCAATTGTTGCAAGGAGTTTATATAGCCATTTGCTCAGGCGACCAATAATGTTTTTAGAGCTATGTTAGTGTGGTTGTGAAGTACCACCATTACTTTGGACAAGTAGAGGGAGAGAAACTAGATAGAGACATTAAAGAGGGAAGGGAACTAGATGAGTAAGATATTGGAGTCTAATAATAAGGCAACAATAGGATGAGGTGCTTTGCAATCAAATTGAGTCGAGTTAGCCCTCAGAGTTGACGATATCACGAGCGACAACAATGCGATAAGTTCTTATGCAACCAAATTGAGCCAGGTTGGCCCTCACAATACAAAATACCACGAGCATGAACTAGAAATTCATCCAGTACCATGGTGACAATTGACCATCTGATGTAACCTTTGTTTGACGGTTCGCACCAAGCATATAAGATGGTAGAGATCACTAGCTAGCAATGAAGGCTGCTAAGCGCCAATTGTCGCAAGCAAGTTTATATAGCCATTTGCTCATGCGACCAATAATGTTTTTAGAGCTATGTTAGTGTGGTTGAGAAGTACCACCGTTACTTTGAAATATTTTTGTTTCTAATTTTTATTTAACATTAATCTAAGAAAAACAAAAGAATTAGTAAAAATAGATTTATGGATTTAAGGGGCTATTTGTGGGTTTCCTAAGGGATAGGCAACAAATGTGGACCAGTAATGGATTGCTGACTAAGGAGACAAGATTGCCTTAGGAACAAATGTGTGGTTGTTATTTATTTTCCTCAACAAGCTAAAATACGCGGCATGCCGACTAACAAAGCTTTGCCTCTTATAGTTATTTGCAAAGTGATCTTTGGGACGCTTATGCATGAGCGAGCAGTAGGTACGGTTGTTCATCCGTCGACTGCGGAGTACCAGTAATCAAATCAGTGGCGCAAAGGAGAAATGCGAATGCGATCACCTAGGCATGGAAAACCCTACCCATGATCACGGTGCTTGCAGACCATGGCTGGCCGGCTCTAGGTTTTGGAGGTCCCTAAGACAGACGAACTCGATACCATTAGCTCTAGGTCTTGAGGACTCTTCTGTCCAAAAAAGAAAGGGCAAGACTAGCGCCCAAATGTCCGGACGGTTGCGCGTCCAGACGTCCGCGCCTGCTCCGCTCGGATTCACGCGTTGCCCGCGCCAACGTTCGGGACCACTCCCTTCCGCTCCGCTGACCCACGCCGTCCGGATGACTCGGTCCCGTCTCTTCCACACTGGCGCCTCGCCCGCCTCTTCACACACCGCTTCGTGCCTCCGCCTCTTCCACGCCGCTCGAATGACTCCCCCGCTCTTCCACACGACAGCACCACGCGGCCTGCGCCTCCTTTCCATATCGACGCCGCCATGGCTCCCACGCTAGCTCTCTCTTCCTCGCTCAACAACCCTACCTCTAGATCTATTTTTGCAACACTCAGAGGAAACAATTGCAATATACGTCTAAATCAGATGAAACATTTGAAACATACATTTGCAACATAGCCATTGCAACATATGCAAGATCCAGAAAACACTTGCAACATGCATCTCAAATAGATGAAATATTTCAAACAAACTCTTACAACATACGTATATAACCATTGCAACATGTGCAAAATTTGAAAACTACCATTGCAACATCCATATGAAACATCTAAACATATATCTAAAACATCTTAAACACTTGAAACATGCGTTTTGCAATATAGAGAAGGCCGGGGCTAGTCGATTCCAGACGTTGGTGTGGGAGCCGGCGTCGAGCGGCGGTGCGCGAGCGCCACACCAGCACCAGCGGCGCGCGCACAAGCACTGCCATCATCAGCACCACTAGCAGCGGTCTTGGCTCGGTCGGGCAGGCGGCACGTGCAACGGTGGGAGCAGGCTGCGCGCGAGGGAGCGAGCCAGGCGGAGTGGGGCAGGAGCAGCGAGCGCTGGAGTGGGGCGAGGGCGCACGGCAAGCGACACGGATGAAGGCGCGCGGCACACAGCACAGCACAGGTGAGCGGCGCGGGTGGGTGCGTCCCGTGGCGTATCATCATCGAAAAAGAAAAGGTCTTGGCGGACTCAATACCATTGGCTTCTAGGTTTTGAGGGCCCAAGGCGAACTCGATACCGGCAGCCACGGTCACGCTGTCAAGAATGCACGGTGGACCACGGACGACACGGCTACCGGTCACAGTCCAACCCGGCCCACCGACACAACTGGACGTTGCGAGTGAAAACTAAAAAGTGAAAACTGGCGACAAAAGTGGGAATCTATTTTCTCGCGTACCCGGTCAAAGCAGAGAGAGCTCCCTCTCTTGCGGGGGTCTCCGCAAGGTGTTAATGGCAACCATCCGAGGAGACCGAGTTCAGGACCTTCCGGGGTAAAAACCAGGCCTGCCTTCAGCTACCTATCTTCTCTACCTGTGCAAAAACAGCATTAATAACACGCTGATGTCTGACCGTGGCACAACTGCCATTTCGATGCATCGTGTTGCCTGTTGATTCACCTGCCAGAGTTTAATCTAAAATTACACTGTGTTACACCGGATATTCTATACCACAACAGTGGTATACTAGCTCAGCTCCCATTTAACTAATCAACGTAACTTTGACGGAAGCTACCGTGGGATGCAGTAGGAAGGGCAAGCGGTAGCCGGCGGCGGCGTGGTGATGGCAGGCCGCCAAGGTACCGGGCGGCCCAAAATATTAAAAAAAAAACTTCAACCAATTTTGTTTTGGCGCTAATAATCTATTTTATAATTGCAGCTCCCAGGGTGACGATTAATAATTATAATGCAAGTCGCGTGGGTAAGTCATGCATTCGTCCATGCTCATGCATGAGCCACCAAGAACTCCCACCCATCTCTGTATATATATCTCTACAACAGTTTATAGGGGAAGGTGGAGTGACAGAAACTAGATAGAGGCATCAATTAGGAAGGGAACAAGATGGGTAGGATATTGGAGGCAAACAATAAGGCAACAATACAATAAGCTCTTACACAAACAAATTGAGTCAAGTTGGCACTCAGTCCAGGATACCACGAGCATGAAACATAAAATAATCTAATAGGAAGATGACGAAGATGATACCATGAGCGCTAAAGATGAGAGAAGAGGATGATAAGCGATTGTTTACTGTAACCACTCCTTCGACAGTCCCTGATGAGACAGCAAAGAAGACGTTGTCGTGAGGCACACTGCCTGATGAGACAGCAAAGAAGACATTGTCGTGCGGCACACTGCCTATATATTTGTTACAAAGATTTTGTTACTAAGTGTCATTTGTCTTAAAGAAATTTATATAACCATTTGTTGTACAATAAAACCTAGAGCGTGAGAGCTTGTTAATAAGTGCCATTTGTTGTAAAAGAGTTTATATAGCCATTTGTTGTAAAATAAAACCTAGAGGCAACGCACGCGTGAGGGTGGCACCAAAATTAGGAAGGGGATGGGGACGGGCGGTGGGTGGGGGCTCTGGCAAGCTTAGAAGGGGAGCGGTCTCCACGTGCGCGTGGGAAGCAAAGTGGGCGCGGAGCACAAAAGTTATATCCATGGGCGTGGTATCAGGCGCGAAGCACGAAGCTGCATCCATGGGCAGGCAGCAGCCGCGGAGCACAAAGCTACATCCATGGGCAGGCAGCAGGCGTGGAGCACGAAGCTGCATCTATAAGTGTCCTGAGGGTTTCATTATTGAAAACAGGCGAGTAGCAGGCGCGTGCATCTGGACAGACACCACGTCTAGACATCCGGGCACTAGTCTCTCCGTTTGCTTTGTGCACAACGACATCCTACTAAGTCGAACATTAATATATCCCATAGTACGGACATAGCGACATGTGAGGAGCGAAGGAAGAGATCAATATGAAGATGAGTAATGAAAA